GAGATGCCCGAGCCGGATCATGCAATTTCGCGTGTGCTGCACTTATGTGCAGTATCTTGTAGAACTATACAATACAATACAATATGCGTACAACTATACAATATGCGTAATACGTCATTATACTTTACTTACCACCGAATGTTGCTGAAGAGTGTCGAATCGTGTAATAAATCGTAATATAATGTAATTTGTCATTACTGATTGCACTGTTGCATAATTTATTATATTACTGCGTAATACCGTAAATGAGGGGCATAGAGTTTTACTGTTCGTAACGAGAGATATGGCCAAATTACGTTATAATATGTTTGTTAACCTTAAACTTAGTACTATATGATGTAACCATTTCGGGTAGCCCGACGATTTCAGGTAGCCTGATGATTTCGAATCGAGTTGGAAAATGTTCAAGGGGAATAGGATCAGAGGTGGGCATTATTCGAATAACATTTCGAATAAATTCTTCGAATAAAATTTTATTCGTATGAAATTTCGGATAAATTCTTCGAATAACATTTTATTCGAAATATTTACTGAAATAATGTAAAGAAAAAGAATCAAGAGTCCTTTCTTCACAATTATGGTTCATTTAATAAATTTGCCTTTAGTACAATTTTTTGCTTGAACATTTTGTTAGTTAATCTGTTTGCTTTAGGCGAGTTTGTTGTTGCAAATGAAAACAAACGTTCTACTGGAGCAGAAGGTGGCGAAGGAGTGTTACATTTCAAAAATATATTTTTAATTATGGGATATGCGTTCAGAGATATGTAATCATTTCTATTATCTGTAAGAAATTGTAGTACAAGAATTTCTACGTTATCATTTGTTTGTAAATGTTGGTCGTTGAAGTAGATTCCACTTTATTAAATGTTAAAAGCAAAGCAAATTTATTAAATAAACCAAAATTGAAAAAAAATGTATCCTGACTCTTCTTCTTAAATAATTTCAGTAAATATTTTGAATAAAATTTTATTTGAATAATGCCCAACTGTGTTGTTCGAATAATTTTTCTTCGAATAAAATCGTTACTCGTAAGGAACGAATAATTTTTCCTCTAATAAAATCGTTATTCGTTATTTACGAATAAATTTGACAGTATTTTATTCGTTATTCGTTCGAATAAAATATGCCTAACTCTGAATAGGATAGGGATTATATTGCGTTATCGTCAATTATTCATAACATTTAATAAACATATATATATTTTTTTTCTTCAAATGTAATAATATTTATTCTAAATGATAATATAAAAAAGATAATTGTTCTACATTTTGTGATAGTAATTTCGCTCTAGTTGGTGTTATTAGATTTCCGAATAAGGAAAATAATCTTTCACTTGTTGAGTGGCAGGTACAGCAAGAAATTTTTTTGCTGCTAAAGACAATAGGGGAATCTGGCTGTATTGCATTTCCACCAGCTAATAATATCTATGTTTCTGGCATTAAGACCATCGGCGAAATACGTATGTATCTCTCGATGTAGCTGCGACTCAAAGGTCTCCGGTTCCTCGACGTTTGTATATCCTAGTGTATCGTCGAAAAATTGGTCCAGTTGTGATTTGTTTGTACCTATAAGTTGCAACACGTGCAGATAAATCATTAATAAATAATGAAATATTTAAATAATAGGAAAATTATATTTATTGTTATATAAACTTATTACTTTTTCTGGTATTGCGTTTGTCCAATATGTTTTCATGTGAGTTTGATGTTTCCTTGTAAATATACCTAAAATAATTGCATTTAATGTTTCTATTGCTTTATGTCTTTCTTCTGTCGGCCATAAGTAATCCTTAAAACGAGGATCCAATAACATGGTAGTGAAGTACAGATTATTATTTTGTACAATAGGCTCGAATCGTTCCTAAAAATAAAATTATTTAATTTATTTAATATAGTTTCTTTCTTTCTTGTGTAACTAAAAATAAATAATTGAACGGACCTTTAATGCTTCGCGAATGCTATTGCTCATATCTCTTATCAGTGTAGTTGCTGTTGGCTGTGGCTGAAGTATATTTATTAATGTGAAATATATTGGATAATATTGGGAGACAGTTGGATATGTTTCACCACTCATTTTGTCTGTAATATCTTTAATAGGTTTCAAGACATCTGTTATTGCTATAATGAAATTCCATTCTACTGAATCTAAATTATCCGGCATATTATCTTCACACAGTATTATATTTAGTGTTGTTTGCAAAAGAACGAACCGTTTAAACATTTCGTATGTTGAATTTCATTTTGTATCGATATCCTGTATTAATTGCAGTGGTTCTTGTTGTTCGTTGATAGATTTTTGTGCAGTTATAAGCTTGTGTTTTGCGGTTGTGGAGCGTGAAAAGAACGTAATTATTTTCTTGCATATTTTCCGGAGATGATCGTATAATTCAAAATTCTTCAAAATTTGCTTAACTGCTAATTGTAGACAATGAGCGAAACAAGGAACTCTGCTCCATTTATTATAATTATCAATGGCTTTAACAATATTTCGTCCATTAGTGATAAAGGCTGGCGTCTCAGTATGTGTATCCCATAATTGTAAACAGTGCAATATAGCGTTTTGAATATATTTATACGTATGTTTCTCCGGAAGATGTTTTAAATTTAACATATAATGGCAAAGTTCAAAATTTTTATTTATATAGTGTATAGTTAGAGACATATAACGTCTAGCCGTCAGTAGTAAATGCTACAGCGGTATTCCCTGTTAGAAAATTATATGCGTTGGAGTTAGAAGATACATATAAAAGAATAATATCAAAAAATAATGCTTAATGAAATAATGCTAAAGAAAAGTATAATTTACCTTCTTTCAAGTCTATAGATATTTTGTCCTTCAGATTTTGTTTCATCTTTTCATACAGTTTTGGAATTATTTCACGTGAAAATATAGTTTTCATACAGTTTTGGAATTATTTCACGTCAAAATGCTGCCATACGTTGCTTCTATGTTTTCGTCACACACATTCATACCAGATGCGTCGGCGATATCTTCGGTGCTGTCACTATCACGCATACCTGTACTGCGTATAATAAATAATACGTTTTAAAAATAAACTCCAGAAAATTTTGATTGCGTTACTATTTACATATATTCGTTAACCCCTTGCCAGTTCCGCAAATTTGACGAAATCGGTGCAAAAAATGCTTACCTGTTTTTTTCCATAAATTCGTTGGTTACGTTATTTTGATGTAAAAAACAAAGGGAGTTCAAGTGGTAAACGTACTTTTTATTTGTAAAAAGATTCCAAATTACTATTGCACTGCAAAATAATGATAACAAAAATGAAAATGATCACAGAAATGATCACTGAACACAATACTCTCCGATGTGACTTGCAAAGCGTCACTTTCACGATGGAGAAGAAGATTTCAAGTCAGAAAACCAAAGAACGATACATTTCAAAGTCTTTATCAAATGTTTATACAATATTTTCTTCTTCTCTTTCACGCCCGAGCTCAGATATAAACACTACATCGATGGGGATTCTTTTTCTTAGAGGACTACATGAAAGAGACTTATAGACAATATAAGTGGTCTCTTCCAGAAATATATAGCTTTTGCCATGCTTATGTCACGGTGTGTCGAAATGGGAGAAGAGAAAAAAAGCAGCGATAAAGTAATTCTTAATAAAGTTATTTATTAAATGATTAATAAAGTGATTCTTAATACAATTCTTCATAAAGTGAATATGTATACCAATCAGGACATCGGAGAAACAAAAGACTATGTACATAGTACTCACTCACATGATCAATAGATGTCAGGATTACTTCGATTACATCAAGTACAGCAATACGAGTTCCCCTGGTCGTCATTTAAAGTATAAGCATAGTGCAGATATGTACAGAGGCAGAAACCAGTAAATGTTACAGAACAAATGATAAATTGGCGAAACATATCCAACTGTCTCCCAATATTATACAATGTATTTCGCATTAATATATAAATTAACTTAGGAGCACTTAAACTAGGATTCACTTTTATTTTTCTTAGAATAATGCGTTCGTCTAGGTCGTTAAGTTTTCGTGGCCGACCTTTCTGAGGAATTGATTCAATTCGGTCTTCATCATTATATCTCCGTACAATATCAGCCACGGTATTCTTTTACTTAATTTCAAAAGATGACCGATTTCTCGATACGTTTTTCCTTTTTCTCGGTGAAAAATAACTAATTGTCATACGTCAATAAATCGAAAGACGAGTTAAAACAACGATTAATCGAAGAACGGAAGAATATTCCGCTCAATTATTTAATTAAAGAAAATTAGTGGAAATATTCCTAGACGTCTGCGATATGTAATTGAAGTTAAGGGCTATCCAACAAAATATTAATTATTGTTTATGTTAACAATTTTTAGGTTTAAATATTATAGTTCTTCAAATGTCCGAATATTTATGCCACACTATTATGTAGTATTCACATTCTGGTATTATACGCAGTATGTTTTGGATCGTTATCTTGCATAAAAATTAAATCATCTTTAATGCCCATTTTTTCTGCACTGGAAGAAAAATTAGAGTTTAAAATGTCAATGTAAACTCGGTGGATCATTATTTTATCAATAAATTGTAATGTGCCGAAACCAGCTGCACTCGTGCAGCACGAAACGATTACGGAACTGTGAGTATCTTTCTCCGTTTTCTCAACCACTCTTCTCTGCTACCAATTGTGGGTTAATTAAATGAAATACACACTTTTGGTATAATATATAATATATAAGAAAACACATATAATATATAAGAAAATAGAACAATATGTATAACAACTCTCGCGCGTCGGTATTACTCTCTTAACTCTCGTAACTCTGACTCGCATGTATGGACACTTTTTTCCTCGTTCTGGGACAACGGCATACTTACTGCGCAATACTCTCACCATTGTCTCACACCTCACGCACAATCGCACATACAATCTAAAGTCAGATCTACAATCATCAAACCAAATCTTCAAATATAAAACCAAACCCACAGGAACCAACTCCACCGTGTTTTACTATAGGCCGTAAGTTTGCTGGTTTCAATTCCTCATTTTTTTTTTTTTTTTTTCTCCAAACAAAGTACAGTGTCCATCAGATTCGAAAATATTGAATTTACTCTCGTCTGTGAAAATTACTTTATTCCAGTACTCCATGTGATGTGTTGATATTATTATTTGCGAACTGCGATCTCTTCTTTTTATTCGCTTCAGATACAAAATATTTATTACCGGTCACTCGATCGTGATACCCTTGGCTTCGTAAAAAACTACGCACAGTACTAACAGATACATTAATGTCTAAATTATATTTAAGATGGTCAACTATTTTTGTTGCACTTATTTTTGTATTTTGCCTTATCATTCTAATAACAACTCGTCCAGTATACCGATTAAATTTTCGTGGACGTTCATTTCTTGAGTTATTTTGTAGTCTGTTTTTTTGTTCATACCTATCAATTATACTTTGTATAGTATAAGTGAGGTCTGCTTATAATCCGCGAAATTTCCGATAAACTTTTACAATGATTATGTAAATTAACAATCACTTTTCTTTCTTCTATCGTAGTTTCCACACGTTTTCGTCCCATTTTTTTTAACGATAATTTTAAATACTGCAGAATTTTAAACTTGTTTGATGCCGATAACGTATACAAACATACTGACAACATTAATCACAGTTATGAAGCAGTGGTGAAATATGTTTACGTTATAAATTCTCTTGTAAGCAGATCGAAATAGAAACTGTACAAATATTTATTGCTTGTACATTTCTGCCTTCATTATTTTGTTTTTCCTTGTTAATTTCGCAGAAATTATGCAAATTAAACATTTTCTTTTGCATTGCAATCTATTCTAGAGATTTCCGAAAATATGTACAAACTCATTGTTTAATAAAAAAATTGTTAATAAACTACCATTTCACCAAGTTTTGTTTGAAATCGATCGATGTACGAATACTTTCTACACCCACTGTACATAAAGATTTGTTGCCGACTTGTAAAATTCTACTTACTTTAGTTTTAATTTTAGCAAGAAAGATATTTTTCAGGCAGTCAGTATACAACGTATAACATGATTGCTAAAAGGACAGCTACACCAAACACCTGAGTTATCTGGTGTACCCAATATAAACTGAAACAGACAAAAAATCACTAGCTGAATTTACAGAAATACTTGTATGCTAGTAAAACATTGTAATATTTTAATATAATAATTATATTTTTATAGTTATTTAGATTACGGATGGTTGACTTTAATATGCAATTGTAGAAGTCAATATTTTGAATAACATTTGAATATTCTTGCCGATAGATAAAATTTTGAAGAGATGGATGAGGGAGACAGAAGACCTGAAATATAAAATTTCAGCACCGTCAACTATTATTTTTTTGTCGAATAATGCATAAAAATAAAAAAAAAGTGATATTCGGAAACGAAGTTTAATCTGGGGCCAATACTGCCATTGTGTTTTCGAATACTTGACACACCGTGATCACGATTGTTGAGCGAAATAGCTACTGAATCTAATAAAAACAATTAATATAGTAACACGGGTCTGTAGAATTGAATGTATTGCACCAAAAATTTTTTATCGATATCTCGGATATCAATAAAAATTCAGAAATTAAAATTTTATGTTCAACGTCCAGTTCGCATCCTGTCCATTCCCTTACAACTTCGTGTCGATCAAATCGACTGGTGATCTCAGGAATAATAACCTAATTTCTTTTTATAGTACATGTATTACATCACTCTCTTAGTTTTCGAGATATTTGTAAAACTCTATCGGTAATAATAAATAAATTCTAATTTAATATAATAATAAAGTAAATCCTCCTCATGTAAATTGAAGAAATTGTCCAAATTGTCAACGTTCTTAATATATTTAAAATTTATCGAAATTTATCGGTCAAAAAATCGGTGGTCGATGTAAGGATTCAACAAAATTTGTTCAAGATGTTGAATTTTACAATATATCTGAAAATCATCGAAATCGAAGTAATCCAAGTAATTACTATACTTGTTCTCTATATGATTATACTTTTGACGTACAATAATAATCGTTTTTGGGCTGCATCTATAGATTTAGAGTCCTCTTTTAGAATAAATTTTTCAATTCCCATCACGTATGTTGTCATGTATTTCTTCCAATCCATATCCCATAGATCCAGTTTAACGATATCTCTGTCTTTCAATAGTTTCACTTTCTGTATCATATCGGTGACGTTGTCCTGGTGGAAAGTCCATTCGTGCTGGCCAAAGAATTTTACAGATCTAACCACCTGATTGAAGAACTTACTAGTTTTCATTATCCTGAAAAGCCATTTTAAAATATCATTACTACAAATAAAGACAGAGATTTATATAGTTGTTTCAAGTAATTACTAATAGTTACGAGTAGTGTTTAGTAGATAATATTCAAATAGCGTAGGAATGTTCGCACTGTTTGAAGATGTTTATTTACCATGTATATATATCGAAAGTTACAAATATAAAACAGTTTTTATCTAGGTTTCAAGCGATTTTCAGATCACTTATTCCACATAATAGATGAACGATTTCTACATTCATCAGAGAGACAAGATATTTTATTGTTAGTATGCTATATAAATTACAATTTTGACTTTTAACAGGGGAGAGACAAAAACTGTGTGTATGCAGGTAATGTCTTAAAAAAAAAAAAAAAAAAAAATGAAACGATAATGATTGAATAATGAAATATGCGAATACAATCCCAAGTAACTAATTCTACTATTGATTCATTTCACAAATCTGAAACTATAATTTTACAATTACAACTTTTTATATATCTTAATCTTGTAGATAGAGCTTCCAATCTAAAAAAATATTACTATCAATAACAGTCATGAAGAACAAAAACCACTAGTTATTGCATCGTAACACGTTATTTCATCCAATATATCTCCACATATACGTAATTCCATTGAATAGTTTCTGATAAACAATCAACAAAATTAAACTGAGTTGATTGAATTTCCCGAAATTCTTCTATATCACGAGTTTTAGATAACAAACACTCGCCAATCCAGAAGATCTGCAAGAAGTACTTCAATCCCCTATCACTGTTTATGAGAAAATCCAATGTAGAATATTTGTGACATGTGATAAATTAAGTTGTTTTAGGTGACGAGATCACACAGCTATCCAAAAAGTACACATGTATCAAATCATAAGTGCAGAGTCGATCATCGGAAATATGGTATTTATAAGAAAAACGAGCTTCCTCGTCGATTTCAATCATCTGAAACATATTGCATTGCCTTTACTGAATTCTACAGATAATTTATTGATATTAAGGGTTACTTCACAATTGTGGTAGTGTCTCTCATCGAGGATTTATATACAAACCAGTACTGATATCCTTCTTTAAAATGAACTGATCATTTATGAAAGCAGAGTTTGAACTAGATTTTCCGCCACTAGATTTTTGATCGCCACCAAGCTACATTAATATGATACAGATATACGCAGATAAAATATTTTCAATGTTAAATTTAATAGATTATATTTGGTTTAAATTCCTTAAAAGCATCTGATATGAGACAATCTACCTTGAAATTCTTAAAATTTTTAGTCCTTGGTTAAAGTTTGAGTTAGACTTGAATTTTATAAAATTTTCATTATTCTTACTGATTTCTTCTATGAAATATCTTGTCTGTGGCTATTTAAAAACGACAACTGATAACATAAACATGGACGATGATTAACTATAGACTTTAATGTGTTAAATACTCGAATCTGTTAATATAATACTTTTTCATCAAAGTGGTTTAGGATTCAATGTGTTCTGCAATATTGTGGACCAGTGAATAAATGTGGAATCATTGTGATAGATTGATTAATAAACAACATAAATTTAATATCAATGATTTTAAAATTATTGGAAAAGGCTATGACATATAAGAAACGACTAATTACAATGGAAATTTTGGAAAAAGTAGTTTCCACTTCGAAAAAATTCTTGTATTTGTAGAAAACTAGCTTAAAACAAAACGCATAAAGGTAAGAAAAAAGAATGCATTATCTAACACTTTTACTATTAGTCGAAGTAAATGAAATTATACCATCAATAAAATTTACTTATAACTATCGTATTCAGAAGAATAAACGAAAACGCAAAGAAAAACTTTTTCTGCTGAAATGGTTTAAATTAAACCTCGTTTAAAATTTTTGAATACAAAAATTAAATGCGTGACTTCCTTCAGATAGCATAATCCATGATAGTTTAAACTGTATCTTGGAAGCACTGAATTTAACATATCGGATTATATTAAAATTTTAAGGAAATCATTTCAATTTCACACATACATTACAAAATTTCTAAACAAATGCAATTTATCGCGTTAATAGCAGACTAATGGTGAAACAAATTCCATTTTAAATATATTAAAAAGCTCAAGCATACCTTCTCCAAACTCCACATGAAAATTATTTAGTGTCACTGAAGCAATCGAAATTTCTAGTGTCTTTAATAAATTTACTCAAACAGCACACCAATGATGGTCATCATTATACTTTAGATAATACTTTATAAATATCAATAAGAATTAAATTTCATTTTTTTTAAACTTATCTAGACCACCGATTAATTTCATTCTGGACGCACCAAATTGTTATTAATATGAATTTAACATAATGAATATGAAGCAGAAAGTATCTTAGCAATTAAAACTACTGATAGTATGTAGCAATGTACGCCGCGTCGTAGTTGTGACACACTACAAAGATTATATTAATGAACTGACCTATACGAGGAGTGATTATCCCTCAGTTCACTGTACAAACCAATTGGCCCAATAATTTGTAGGAATGAAAAGTAGTCAAAGAAGTAATCTCACAAAGCACAACAATTGAGTACAGTAGTGTATATATAAATAATTTGTTAAAAGGAGCAATAAATTAATGTCATGGAATCTAGCTGAAAAAAGCCTTTCCACATCACAAATATTATTGAAGAAATCTTCAGCAGTCATAAAACTAATACCATATCGTTTTAGCCATGCATAAAAATCTCACATATAAAACATTCACATTTTGTCATGAAACTTCAGTTCTTTGATGTGACGAGTAATTTATTATAGTTATAGGCAATCAACTAACTTACACCGCTCTAAACATAACATTCTCCGTAAGAAATGTAAATTGAAAGAATAATGGTGGAAATCAGAAAGTGTTTTCTGGCTACTTAGGTTTCTTCAAAGAAATCAAATTAATAAGAAGAACAAAGTATTATAATGTACATACTGTCGTTTCCGAGTTGTCGCTAATAACTGCAACTGTTGTAGTTACGACTACATTGTTTTCAAAAAACGTACTCACATTGGTTTTCTACCGGAAAGTTTCAGAAAGATGTCCATGAAGAACGCAGGCAAAATATGCAGAAATATATCCAAAACATTGTAACCATATTGATTAGGTACCAATATACAGAAGGGGTACCACATTATGTTGTTCATCGGCGTTTCTCTACTACACTGCACGAGAATATCTCTCATTTGATTCCATCTTGAAAAATGAAATATTTACACTTAGTAGATTTAAATAAAAAATATTGTTTAGAATATCTCCAGAAATATTATCTATATCATATTTCAGATACGTTTCTACTTTTTTAAATCGGGCTATTAAGAACAAACATTAATGACAGTATAATTTAAATTATTTCGTGTAACAACTTATTTTGTTATGGATCTGACTTAAAAATTATATGAATTCATCGTAAAGTAGTGTAAATACGCGTACTGAAATAAATCAGTAATATAAACTAGTATCCAGAAAAGATGTGAATCTTAAAGGCGGTCCCTAAATTATGATACAATTAGTTAGGAGGAGGGATTATACTTGCAAAAATAGGTTAACAGAAACGAATTCAATCTTTATTATTTCAAAAAAACCAATTTTGAAATGTGACAAAATTATTGAACCAACGCAACGGTACTAGCATTTGGTTGACCCTGAGAATATCAGAACGTATTTCTATAGATATTTATTTGTGGAGCTATATTAAAAAGACATCATTACTATGTAATGATAATCATCTTCAATTCAAAAATATAGGTATTCTAAGAATTGAAAAATTCAAACACGTTAACATCGGTTCACGTTTTATCAAATTTGTAGAGCCAGATTCGATTCAGAACATGGGTGGAAAATTTTTAAATTAATTATTCGATTTAATTAAACGAGGCTGAGCATTCTTCACAATTGTATGAAATCCTGATTGACATTCCTTATAGGCACAAATGAGAACTCATTGCAGAGGCAACGCCACACAATATGTGTTTCTTTAAATGCATATGTATTAAATGAATATTCAAATTCGATTTTCTAGAAAATCAGGCGTCGTATGGAAAAATTTTATTTTCTGTTTCTTTACTTATTGTTGCTTGTAGAATTATTTCGGAATTTGTTATTTGTCGTATATACCACTATTTGTGGAAGATCTCAATATGTGCAGTCTTTTATATTATTACATAAACTTAAGCTTCGAGTCTACTTTAATTAGTAGACTCGTTAAATAAAAATCCGTATTGATATTACCTCACTGGGTGTGCATTACTCGTAGAATTATACACTTTAACTTCATTGTTTCGGTATAAGGTTACGTGCCATGCGGCGCATATTATCATGTCGACCACGTAATCAACAGGTACTAGATTCAGTCTTTTACTCCTTTTGACTAGCATCGCTCTTATAATACCATTGCCAACTAGCATAAAGATACCTTAAATTCAAAATGATTCAAAAATGATTCCTGATTTTTAGAAATGCTTGAATGATGATTCACTTTCTGTCAGCAAAGAGTTAGAAATAAAGATAGTAAACGTCATAACACCTTATTAGTTGAGAAAAACCGATTCTAATCTTAAACAAGTTAAGCCATTAACAAAAAAGTTATTGTACTGTACATAAAGACTGACAAAGCACTGCTTATATTACAATATTGCTAATTTAAATGCTACATTGGAATAAATAAAACATGCATTTTCACACTAAACTAATGATCTTTTGGGTAAAGTTTGTCACCAATTGGGTTCTCTCTTAAGTAATTAAGAAATTATTCTAGTATGTTTTAATAAATAATAACTATTATATATTCATCTTTTTTAACTATATTACTATTAAATGTATTAGAATAGATTAAAATATATTATTAATTATTTATAAAAGTACTTGTAAGTCCAAAGATATTGTTCACCCAACCAGGACATGGTTCCTTTAGCGAAGCACCAATTACACTTGGTCGCACTATCGCAACTGGCAAACTATCGGCATTGTTGGATATAACTTGTTCTGCCAGATTTTTGCTGAACGTATACATGTTGGGATAAATTCTTAGAATTTCGTCTTCTAATAAATCGATCGATTTTTGGTCTCCTGTTTCACACATATTGATTACTGTAGATGGTTTGAAACTCGTGCTGGAAAATCATTAATGACAAGTGAAAGTAAATGATGCGCAGTAACAGATTGGAAAAGTTGAAGAATAGTTTGTGTACTCTTACGTGTAAACTTTTTCCTCGATCTCAAGTATATTGGCATTACTATAAGCTGTACTAATGTAAACGACGCTAATTAAATGCTTCAGTTCCTTACACAATTCCATAATACGAGCAGTACCTTTTGTATTTGTATTAACAGCCACATTCAAAGGTTCGTTGAACCTCACTGTGGCAGCAACATGGAATACTATATTCACATTTTTTATCAACGTAGTTCTATCTGCCGATGAAAGACCTAAATCTGGCAGGCTAACGTCACCCTCTACGGGATGAATCCTGCTCAAAATCGAAGGATGCTTTACTCTGACGTTGTCATAAATCTGAAGATCAAAACATATAAAATCAATTCTCTGAAAGTATACTGTTATAATGTTCTGCTTTCATCTAGTTTTTAAATTTTCTGACGTTTCATATTCACATTTTATATCAAATATGGTATACAATAAAAAATTGTATTCAATTCATTTCCTCTTGTTTATTTTTTTATTTTAATCATATTCACTTCATTTACTCATTTTTCATTTATATTCACTTCATTTTCTCGACATGAACTTCTCGAAATATTCTTATTTTCAAAATATTTCTTTCTACATTGATATAAGAGTGATAAGATAAATCATATTTTAACATCTGCAGTACGAAATAAAATTATAACTTTATCATCACAAGATTAGTTGACAATCCTAGTGGAGATTGAATTTTAGAACTATCTTGCGAAAAATCTTTAATGAAATGAAAACGGAATAAATGAGCGAGTAGTCAAAAGTTAAATTGATTTTCTCTATAAATTGAACAGTGGTAAAGCTGATGTTGTTCTAAGCACTTTTAAAATTAACATAAAGTTAATTATTCATCTACTTCATATAGAACTGTTCCACGACTAGGAACAAGTGGAGTGGGAAATATGTTCGTCCAAGACACGAATACTCTAATATTGTCTTTTCGATGTTTTTAATATTTAGGAAAAATGTGTCTTAAAACAAAGGAAAAACTCAAGAGAAAGAAATTGTATTGCAACTATGATTTTCGGCATTAATTGATAATTGGATTACGTTTAGTATGTATTTGATGCTTGTTGAGTTTAATCGATGCTCGTACCGAAAATGTTAATCACTATTCTAGTAAATATATTGTATATAATCTATGTAATGAAACTAAAAAATGAAGTAAGGATACGAAAAATGAAGTTCATCAATATCGCTGCTGAAAGGCTAAGATGTAAAAAGTAGTTACAATATTATTTACATACTGGATCATCAATGAGCTTCTTAAATCGTTGTTTTATCGTTTGCTCCTTCTTCGGACGAAGGAGAATATAAATGGCTGCTATACCTGGACATATACGCATTAGTTTCTCCAAGATGCCTTGCCCTACAAAACCTGTCGCTCCAGTCACAAAGATCGCAGTATTATCGTAGAATGCTTCGATGGAATTCGCTTTACTCGGTTTTACATTAACATTATTTTCATTAACTTTTATGTTCATTCTGTCCATGCTGCAGGCTCTTCAGTCTCAATATTGCGAATATCTGCAACTGATTAATGAAAAAAATGAACAATACGACCAGAAAAAACTTGTCACTTTGATCTCTGTATAGAGTAAACAATGTAATTTTAATCACTTTTGTCGAAATTTGGAAAGTTGTGGAAAAAAATTATTTAGTGTAAAAGGGCTACAATGTAACAGCAATAATTTCTTTTGTAAAGTGCACGAATAGTGGAGCGCGTAATAACGTTTATGACACAGTGAATGTTTATAGTTGTGCACTACATCACAATTCTGCTTAATACGTTGAAGGCCATGAAGATCACCGGTGACCGGCAAATCGAAGATTAGTGAATACACATAATTCGAGTTAATGTTAATACTTGTCAATTTTTCAATATTAGCTTCATTACTACGATAGTGTGAGGAAATCAATGCAGTACAAAGCATACAAAAATTATTTTATTTATAATATGTATGCGTAAATATTATTCGCGCATATTGTATTATATATGCCAAACGAAGAAATATAAATTAATACAGTTTTCACAATGTGACGACTGTATTGCTTGGTACAATTTCTCGCTTTTGTTCAACTTCTAATTATTTTGAACTTTTTTCATAACATTTTCTACAATATCGTCACCCGATCCTGGGTTTCTTGCCATTCTTTTTCATTTTGGCACAGTTTCTTTCTATAGGCTTGTACATAAAGAAATGCAACTCTCAATTTCACTAGAACTTGAAAATAAAACATCGTAAAATAAATGAAAGTCGAAGATATGCATTTCAGCGCCGTGGGGATCATCGGTGACCCCTAGTAAAGTAAGTCCATTAAACATGTTCACGTACTTCAACTTATCCGTTGCAGATAATATTCCAACATAATACCCATTGTATAATAAGAAACTCAGTGTATCAAATATGCAAATTTATGAGACGAAATGAGTAAAGGATTTGTCATCAAGGATTTATTTTGACAAGTTTACAAATTAGTTCATACATAAATTAACATATATGTTGTGGCATATAAACCAATATTAATTAATTCAACAATTGGAGGTCAATATAGCAAGTTTTGTCCTTAACTCTGTTTTTTCACTCGCTGGTTCACCAGGTTCTTTTTATCTTCGTATTTGGAAATAATTTGTACTACCGATACTTTATCCCGGCTATTTGAATTTGTCTGATTTATTTCATATCTGATTATGACTTGAAAATGAAGTATGAAAACTAACGTAACAAGTGCTATACTGTTGCGAGCATGGATTCCTGAAACTATAAATATTTATTTTTTACATACAAGTCTGTGGACAAATGTTGTGTGTTTCTACATCAATAAACCCAAAATTCCCTCCCCTTTCCATATCAGACTTACCAAAATCCTTCAATCCATCACTTTCAAAATCCACCCCAAAATTGAACATAAACCACCACAAATCCCTCCATGGACAATAAAAGCATTCCCAACAAACACCAGTCTTGCCAAACTCTCCAAAAAAATCCTCAGTCCAAATGACCACAGAACTCGATTCCTAGAATTAAATAACAACTACTCCCAACACAGCAAGATTTGCACTGATGGGTTAAAAACGGACACTGGAGCTGGATACGTCATTATCACAGAAAAAGCTAAAAAAACACAAAATCTCCCTTCTTCATGCACACTCAAATAACGAAGCCCAGATCGTCATATTCACCGACTCCATAAGCGTTACAAAATCCTTAATGAAATCATATGATCAAGAAAATCAACTAATAACCACCATCCAAGAACTAAATTCCTAACACAAACGCCACAGTCATCTAGATTCCAGCTCACCAAGGAATAGAAGGAAATGAAAAAGCCAACGCAGCAGCGTAAGAAGTCACACTTACTAACAATAGCAACCATCTTCCAATACCCTGCGAACAATACATGGAAAACAACTAAGCACCCAACTACACAAAAATATCCAAGACTTTCATCAGCAAACACCAAACTCTAGCAACAGGAAAGCAGGAATAATTATCACACGCCTAAGAACCGATCATACGAAGCTGACTGAACACAAAATTAAAAAAATTACACCTCTTACCTGCAATCATTGCAATAACCATCTATTATAGTCACCCATATTCTGCACGAATGCCACACCACAGAAATCCAAAGACAAAAATACAGAATCAACGCAAACATATATCTTACTTCTGACGTACAAAGAGTACTAAAATATCTCAAAAACATAAACTACTACACTCATTTTTAATGGCACCGTCGTCACTAATGGCCTCGCTGTCGATGTGACATTAAAGAAAAAGAACAGAAGAAGAGGAAGATAAATGTTAACAAATTTTCTTGAATATTTGTTTTTGAATGCTATATATTCAAACAGATTACGGATAAAATGGAATCTTGAATTTTGCATTATAAAAAAATTCATTATTTTCAAATGTTTCTTGCTAGACGTGCAAAGCAGAGTGTATGCTAGAATTTTTCTCTGTTGGTAAATATGTTTTAAAATGTTAAATGCTATTGTATTTTAGTCTGAAAATATCTTATTGTTCACTACTTACTGCTTTTTTATAGTAAAATATTTATGTCACGGGTAAATGAAAGGGAAGTCAGCTGTCGTATTGGTTTTAACGCTCTGACAATGTTGAGATTCAGAGTTGTATACGAAATTTGTTGTAGGATTAACTTTTGATTGAGAGAAAACTTTGGTTTGATTAATTTTGTGTCACGACTCTGATGCGAAATAGTATTCTAGCATACAGGTGGATTGTTTCTAGTCAGAATCCATTCCACAATGAGATGCACTGAAGTGAAGTAATATGGATGTGGCAGTTACTAATAACCAGTCACTGAGTTCATTACTATCACATATTCAATATATATTCATGAACATGGAAGAAAATGCAATACTTATGCCTATATACATTAACTGACTACTCGATAGTTAAAGGTGCCGATTACAGTGACTATCATATCACACTGACCAATTTAACGAAGACAGTTTGATTATTATTATCGTCTGGACGTAAAATTTAATGTATTGTACCAAAAGTTTTTAATAATATCTCAGACACTAGTAAAGCTCTGCATCTAAATCTGCGTTCTTAGGATCTCCTCTCCCTTCTCTTAACAAACTTTCGTTTTATTCTGATAAATGAGTTTATACCGTACTACAGTCAGAGAATATAACGAGTTCAGACATAAGTAATAAGTAAAGTATTAAGAAAGTAGCAAATATTGTTCGATATTCGGCATTTCTGACATTTTTAACGTACATATTCTTGTTAGTGGAAAAATAAATAAAATTTTAATAGCATGCAGATCAAGACGAATCCGTGGGTGTTTCGTGTGTCAGAATTGTAAAATTGATGGGGATATCAACGAATAAGCATTTGATACGCCAGGACAGTATAACATAATATTTTAAATAAAATATAAATATATTTTATTATATATTACTCTTTTCCAAATGCAGTACTTTACGAATATATATTTCGTCGAATTGATCAAGGTATCAAGTTCATATTAAAAAAACATACACATATGTATATATAATATGCATGTTTGAACTATGCATTAAATATTTTTGTTACCAAATAAACAGATGATGAAAGATGCATAGAACATTTACAGTTCCATCATTACTATCATTTAATCTAAACCGTTTTCTGTCGTTTGATTGAAAATTGATTGATTAATATACGATGCATTAACATTTTTAATTCGTTTCTTGCAATTTCACTTGATAGGAACAATTGTCTATTTCTACCGAATGCAGAACGCAAAATAAAATAATTATGCACTTTACAATTTTTTCCTTGCACGTTTTAAGGTGATTGTTTTAACCACTGAGATATTTTAGTCATGAATGAATTTCTCTTCTTAAAGTTATAAAAAAAATGTATCGTCTAATCTACTAAAAATATATTACATTCTACATTCTTCCCAACTGATTTCTCGTTTTAATAATATAATAAAACATGAAGCGAAAAAGAACTATACGCATCAAAATAGACAGGAAAAGAAAATTGTACATAAAGTATATAATTATACCCAAAATCAAAATATAGGAAAATTTGGCAACTTACTTTAAAATATTGTAGTTCCAATCGTATTAATTGAAAACACGACTAAACATACAATGCTAGAAAGTCTACGATTTTAAATTGTCTGTTACTATTTCCGCACAACACCCTAAATGAAAATCAAAGAAATTGCGATTTCACGACAGTAAGACAAATAATAATTTCCTTTAGCTATGGAAGTGGTACTTATATGCTTCGTCCCACCATTGCTATCAAAGATAACCATATACATATATAAGCAGTAATAAATCTTCATAATATACCTTTGCTATAAATATGCAAATAATAACAGCTCTTGATCTTTATCTGTTAGCAAGATTAATAAATCCATTTTGTATGTAAATTATATGTATTTGCTTCAGTCGACTTAGAAATTTAAATTAAAATAGCTCACTTTGTCCAGAGTTTCTTATAAAACTGAGATAGTAATTTTTTAATCTTTGGTTTTTTTTCAAATATTCATATATCTATGTATGTACGGAATATGTTGTGTGTAAGGTACGTAGGAGAAATCCAGCTAAACTCAGATACTCGGTAAAACCAGCACATGCTATTATTTTGAAAATAATTTATTTAATTAATTTTCCCGCAGTATCATTTCAGTTATATGTTGTCATTATTTAGACTACACGGAAATGATAACGATGCTTATGTTCTAGAATATATCTACTTTCTGTGTTTTGCTCGACTATAAAAATTATAAATATTGACGTTATTTAAGCAATAATTTTCGTTGTGGAATTTGTTATGAATACGTAATTGGTTTATTTTCAATTCCTCGTTGTAGTCCTAAAGACTTATGTTATTTAAAATCGCACACTGAGGCAAAATTTAATATTTGTATGCTTAAGTGTGGTTTTATGAAATGGACTCTGGCAGCTCTCAGCAATAGTAAAATTTTTTTCACAAATAAATTATTTCTATAGGTTCTTTAATACTGTTACTTACATATATGTAGTCAGAATATTTGATCTATACTACAGTTTTATTGGTCTAATGATTACGTATAAGAATCTAAAAATTAATAATAACAAGAATCTAGTCGTCTGATAATCGATTATCGATAAATTTTTTGTATCTTATTGATTCTTGATGATATGTCGAAAATGTCGCAGTAATACCCTTAAGGCAAATAGAATCGATTAAAGCAGCAGACACTGCGTTTGAAAATCAAAGATTTATTAGAAAATCAAAGATTTATTAATAAAAATTTATTTATTTTGATTGAAACTTATTTACAGACAGTATATCGGTATACTTTATAATCTTGTATTTCTGTCCAAAAGAATTTGTTGCGTTGCACTTGAATTTTATTTCATTATATTTTGAGAAACAAATTACCCTATTTATATATATCTACCCTATTTATATATATCTACACAAACTGATAAAATATTGTTACCGTTGTTAATGGATCGAATAAAAAAAAATATATATATATATATATATATATATATATATATATATATATATATATATATATATATATATAAATTATGAAACGCATATAATATTTGTCACCCATTGATTCACTCTTGCTATCGTCACTCACGATTCGCGTCTGGGGTATCTTCCAGGTCACAACTATTTTTCGTTACTCGCTCTCAATTGTTCTCGCATATACTCTCTCATTCGTTCTTTCCTCCACCTAAATAACATGTACTAGCTATTAGAAAATGCTCATAGAAAAAAATCTTTTTATACAAAGCTATCATATGTAAGACTAATTTGTTTATACGAAATCGGCCTTTGGGTATGTGCTACTAAATGAAATCATACAAAGATGTCAGATCAATGTATGTATTTCTTATAATTACGAATGCACCTTGGTACCTCAGAAATCAAACTCTCTACGAATACGTGTTTCTTACACAAAAGATATCATCAAAGATAGAAGCAGAAAACGTCATGAAAAATTAGTGTGTACAAATATTTACTGAACCCGCTACAAATGAAATATTTAACAAAAGACTTCGATGAAAGTGGCCGGCAGACCTTTGAATTCTAAGATGTCACATCACACGATTGAGAGCGACAGCTCCTTAAGTGATTAAATTAGCATATACATATAATAACTGTATTCAAGTTGCTAATATACTTAATAAATAAAAAGAAATCTTTGAAAACTTGAACTTTTTAATCCAGAATATTTTGATACAAATGAGATTAGTATAAATAAAAGAATAAAATTTCAGAAATGACCAAAAATATAAAAAATTGATTAATTAGACGTATAAGAATGGTTATCTAAAATAATAAAAATTCAAGAATCATCGACATACCACTCTTGTCATTATTACCGTTATTTACAATGAGCAATAGTAATGGAACTCAGGAAAATGAAAAATAAGCTATATAGTAGATTTCATATCAAATTCTATAACGTTTAGAATAAGACGAATGCAATAAAACATGATTTAATATGAATTATGACGTGCGTAGTAAAAAATTTCTACATGCAAAATTAACTGAATAAAAAGAACGAACAGTATAAATATAGTGTTATCAATAGTAATAAGGATATGTAAATATACCATTGTAAATGTATGTATTCCTACATATTTATATTTCTACAGAGGAGAAAAACAAAATCTTATTTTGTATAGAAGAAGCTTTCTTAGTTATTTCTCTACGACTATCGACGTACCTTGCTGAACCTCAATTTATCAAGGCTGCTGATCCATTAATTATATTAGTTAATCGAGCGCTTACTATATATTAATTTATATTAAAATAACCACTGGTAATTATTTATAAAGATACCAATGTCTCCATGAGGATTGTCCACCCAACCACTATACAATTCTTCTATCTAGAAGCCAATTATACTTGGTCGCAAATGACAAACTGTCGCTATTACTGGACATAATTTGCCCTGGCATATTTGTGAACGTATGTATATGTGTTGGGATAAGTTTTTAAAATTCTTCTTTCTAATTGATCAGTCATCTTCTTGTCTTCTCTTTCATACATACCAATCACCATAGAAGGTTCTAGAAATTCTAAGCGATTGCATGATCTGCCATCTTGTACAGTTTTGGTTATAATAGTTGACAATCTATATCAAGAAAAATTTCCTTCACAGTCTAGAAAAATTAGTAAGCTTTGCAAAATTGAAAAATCTACAAATCGAGCAATAGAAGTAAGTTTGGAGAAAGAAAGTGCAGTCGCGGTCGTACTGATGAATATTGGGCGAAGAAAATATCCTGCCGATATTCGTGCCGTGAATTACTCAGGAATTTAGAAGATGAAATATTGATACTCGCTATAGCTCATATTGAGGATACAGAAATGCATATTGATATTTGAAAAACATATAATATTCTTTCAAACAATGGACGCGTCATTACTAACCATAATGATCGTTTTGTGTCCAAAGATGAGACCTAAAAAATAGTAACATAGCATTCAGTTAAGAACATTTTTAAATCAAGGAATAAGCCAAAAGAAATGTGTATGGGACATTTGAGACCTATGGCGTTGTAAATGTAAAAAATTCAACAGAGATCTGTTTGAAGCTCTCATCATTTATTTTTTTCGTTTGCATTTTCATCAATGTTTTGCATTTTCGGTAGGTTATTGTCATTTCTGCTAAAAATATTTGGCATTCGTATTGAGTACGTTATATTCCGTATCATATGTACTACAAGTTTGAGTAGGCAGACAATACGTATGTGCTGTACACTACAATACTTTTTATTTAGATCAAGTTTTACATATTGTGTAACAATTTTCTCTGTCAAAACAATCAATTTTCTCTGTCTAAACAAATCAATTAGTGTAAGAAACAGCGAATGTATATTCATTGAGTCTATAATAATAATTTGTAATATATTAATGTAAATTAATGTAAATTTTTTTCCATTTTCTGTTTTGCAATGAATACATTTACTACTCATAAAAATAAGTTATTTTCAAGGAACAATTTACATTAATTTTAAGTATGTCGTATACTTTATACTTTTAATACGCATTGAATATATTAATGTTTAACTATTCTATCGAACATACTAGAAACTCTTTTTGTATTCGTTCTTGAAAGCTTTTTGTTATGTACTGTGTCATTGGGGCTTGTGATATATATTTCTGTCCTTCAACATACATAGGTGTTAGCACGAGAATATTACAAATTCTTGCGCCGAATCACGATCTAGTTTATATTTCAGTTGGAAGTTCTTTTGAATATTTTCTCTTAACATTTACTAGATCAGAGTTCAGAAGCATCACGCAAGTAAAGACGATCGTTGATCCGCGAGGCTGTTATGTTTGTAGTGCCCTCTAGAAACGGTTGGCATCAATCACTTTGTCGCTTCGTTTTTAGGTGACGTATAATACAGCAATTACACAGCACGTTTTTCAAATCTGGTTGGCTAGATCGAACTAGCCTGTTTTAACAAAAACAGGCTCGCGAGCGGATGCGTCTCAGAATCGTTACAATTTTCACGTCGTACAGAAACGTTACAGTTTTCAACGAAGAAGAATCTCTGTAGTTTTTCATCGAATCAGACTCTCCAAAGTTTTCACTACGTAAGGAATTTTTACATTATATCAATTGTAAAATAAAGCAGTCTCATTTACAAGTAAAATTCATCAGCCAGTTGTACAAGACAAGTTCATAGTTCATAGTTCTCAGTGCTGTGAAATTAAACACACCTTTAAATATTCAGAATTCACACTCAATCGTACAAACAGTACAGTCTTTGTTGATTCCTAAATAAAAATATAATCCTTTTGAGTAGGACACCCTATAGATTTTAAGGCCATAAGGTATGATTTTTACGTCATCAGTTACTCGATACTCGGTGAAAATGCATCGCGATGATAACTACAGCGAACACTGCTGATTAATACAGGCAGAACTCAATGTATTTTATCGAAACTTTTTTATTAATATTTTGGAACTTACAAATAGGAGTAAGTGATCTACAACTGATGCTTTTGAAACTATGGTCTTTGGCATTACTAACATGAGATACATCTTTACATTCCCAAGACTTCCGCACAGTCCGCATGTACATACATGCATATCTCGGGCATAAATACTACATTTATATTATTTATATGTAACTCGGAACTATTTATGTATGTATATTCATAATTAAGCTTTACATAAACTTGTATTATTATGTATAATTCGTATTTTGTAGCGGTCACATTACCTACTTAACATCGACTGTCTGTTTATAGATAAATATAGTATAAATATACCTTAGCACTTTGATTGCCCATCAGAGGAACAATCCACAACGTCCAATTCTGGAACACTTTTTATCATCGTAGGTCCCACAGCTAATAACAATCGGGTCACATAGTTATCTACAGTCTATATTCATCACAGAGAATAATTGGTTATAAAATGGTGTTACAAAATGGTGGTCCAAATAAACTGAAATTTTGAAGAGGTAGAAAAAGGGGGGATGTCAAATATAAAATTTTAGATGAAATATTATGTAAAAACTTTTGTTACAGTACAGATTAATGATGCTGACACAATCAACTTTGTCGTCACAGCAGACCATAGATTTCCTGTACCAAAGTGCAAAGATCTTATTGATAGACAAAGTATGCCTGAAATTTTTGGTCAGTACACATATTGTTTAGTCAATTGTTCCATTCTTCTAATTTCTGGATTATAGTGATTCCATTCTTCTAATTTCTTGATAAAGAACTACACACGGAAATATATATAATCTGAAACAGAAGATAAGAAAGAGAAAAAGAAAAGATATTCCGAAAAAGTACATTTTAAGTGTTTCATCTTCACATTTCATATCAACTTTATCATAATAATGTATTTATTTTATTCAAATCATTTCCTTTCATTAATTTTTTCCATTTAATACATCTTCATTTTATTTTCTAAAAATGGATTCTGCTTAAATAGCTTAATTGTTACGATACATAATACTTAGTATCTTTAATATAGAACAAAATAAAACTTTGATATCATGAGATTAATTGGTAAGTACTGCAATTTAAAATTACTGCCTTGTAAAAGATATTTCTTTATAGTGAATAATAATGAATTAATCGTTCAAAAGCTACATTGATTAACGTCGTAAGTGGAAAAGTGAAGAAAATTAATGTTGATATATTGTATATGTGTATATTGAAATCATAAAGTTTATTATTAAACTCTTTGATACGTAGGTCTAAGCCAAGAAATATCTAGGATAAATGTCTAGCGAAATCGTTTCCTAATAAGATATAATCAATGTGTATAACATATACGTATATATTTTTGTACCGAAGAAAGAAACGTTTTAAATCCCAATCAAAAGAAAAAAATGATATTATTAATTCATGTGTGATTGATCGACGTTAATTAACGACCAATAGTACACGAACGCATTCGATGTGTGACAAAGGTTAATTAGTATTATAGTATTATAGCTTATGGAAGTCGCTCCGACTGTATTTTACTGTAATTTAACTCGTATCATTTAATCCAGCAATTACGAAAGAACATAAAAAGGATCATACAACTGTAAATAGAAAAGGTAAAAAAAAAAGTGTAACTATTGATCGTGTAAAAAATGTGCTGGGTAAAATAGGATCCAAATGTGTATTCAGTGACTAACAGAAGAAGAATGTTACATAACGTCGATGTCATTATGAATGTTTATTATATACAGAATCAAATTGAACAACTTCTGTTGACAAGAATTTTTTGTATCTTATCTTATTTCACGTAACATCGTTCACCTTGTGTACAAACAGTCAAAGAAACATGTGGCCAAACTTTGGTACTCTCCTACCATTAGGAAAGATGGTAGATACATAATATAAAATGTAGAGTTGTAATGCTAATTTGTTAAAGTATGGACGAACATCATGGCTTAAACTGCTTGCATGTATTAACAGGAACAGGAGCGTATTTTAATTGAATGTGATAAGAACTATTCGATCTTTGACTATTCGAAAGTTGATTGATATTTATTTCGCGCTTTCCTGAATTTTTCTTGAATCTGATTTGGTACTCTCAGAATGGATGCAGCAAGTTGGTTGATTACTGTTAAAAATTTGATTTTTCGATTAATGGTATTCAATATGTAACGACCACCTTTTCATTCTTACTTCTTTCATTGCGTGGAAGATTGCGACGATACCCGAATAGAAATGAAACGTTTGGTTTTTTCGCAGTGTGCATATCCCTCCATGTGTGGAACGATTGAGCTTATATTGAGGATGTGGCACGTAACTATCGCCACGATTTTTCAGGCACTTCTGATTGTGTGACAAAAAATGTTTTGAACAAAACTTTAAGCAGTATCTAGTTGATTACAAAGTACAATATAAAAAATTCCAAAAACTTTTTTTTTCGATAAAAAATCAAGGTCACTTTGATTTTTCAAAATAGCACCGTGTATTCTTGACTTCGCAGGATTGTTGCTTCTGAAGAAACGAATTCAACGACCTACTATACTATGACCTTTAGATGTCTTTGACTTCAGAAATTTAGGTTTAATCAACAGAAACTGTTTGTAAATTTTTCATGAAAATTATGTTCTCTGAACCAGTGAGGATCAACTCTGTATTAGAAATGACATCCGTGACGGTTAATTACACATTATTTGGATACATTACAAGCATTCGGTTAGAGAAATTAACCCTCCGCATACTGTGCCGGAATCATTTTTGACCCGTGTTGAGAGCTACTCGAATGCAATAACGCACACAGTAATGTGAAATGTGATCTCACTAACAAAAGAAAGTCATGTGGGTAATACCTGTCTGCCAAAGTGCCGAAGTGACGAAGACTAAAGAGGAAAAATAACAGTTTCTGGTAACGCTCTGAGGAAGAACGACGTGTGCAGCAAATCGAAGCAATTTTTTATTTCAAAGTTTATTTTATATTTTAGTGTTTTTATTATTGTTTTAGTATTTTAGCATTGTATGTTAGTATTTAGTATTTAATAGTTTTTGTATTTACTATTTAGATTTTAGTTTTCAGCACTATTTTAATATTTTACAATTTTTATTATTAATTTACTGTTTTTTATTATTATTATTGTTCTTTTTATTACTTTTTTCCGTTGTTTCTGTTTGTTGTTTCCATTTGTTGACGCAATGTCCTCATTGCCAACGAGCAATCTTTCTTTGTTTGCTTGTTTCTTACTCGCTCAATTTGCACAAGACATTCCTGACACTGAACAATCCTCAGACAACGGAAACGTATCAAATAGTGACGCTGAACCCGAAATGCAAGATTCCAAAGTCGAAATGCAAGAAGACAATATATCAGAAACTGTGGATAATCTAGTTCTAGAAAACAAGGAATTAAAATGTTCGCTGACAACAAAAAGTAAACATATTCAAACGATAGATGAATCTTTCCATTTGTTCATTAATGATGAAATTATAAATAAAAGCATATAAGATTGTATAAAAATGCTGTAAGTGCGATGGAAGCGACAGAAAGAAAATAAAAATAATCGTAAAGAAAATAAAAGTTGCGGGGCAAAAGCGAGCTAGGTGTTGCTTTTGCATAGATAATAACAATAAATACGTAACTATTTGCGATAATTGTAATCGCTATGTTTGTATATAATCGCGGTGCTCATTCTACACAAAACCGGCAAATTTTATGTAATCCCTGCAATAATACATAAATGTATAAATATAAGTAAATATAATTTTATTACTCATGTGACTATTATTTGTTCCTATATGCTCCTATATGTCCCTATAGGAGTCGGGTGTTTGTCACTGTGTTGGTCAATATCGGTGAGGACCTCGGTCTCGAGCGACTGTCACTCTGTGTTAGTATAGTATCGGATGATTATTATTTGTTCTTATATGAGTCGGGTGTCTGTCATTGTGTTGATGGTATAATATCGGCGAGGATCTCGGTCTCGAGCGATCGTCACTGTTAGTACAGTACCGGTGAGCCAACTCGGGCGACCCTAAATATGTAACTAGTGGAATATCCGTGGGAGTCAGAAGTGACCTCGGCACAGAACTGCGAACTTCACAAGTCGGAGGGTTAAATCCTATGTGAATGTTACTAAATCTGAATCTTACACTACCAAGGGCCAAGCCATAAGTTCTGTTGCAGAAGAAAATATCAACATTAAAATTTGCGTTAGTACAATAATATCGTATAAAATATAATAAAACCTATAAAATATAGAGAAACATTGCTATATATTTCTAGAATATCATGTACAGATGTCAATAACATTTCACATAGATACAAACAAATTCAAATTGGCCAGACCAAAACAAGCTATCGCCCTTTCCAAATTGTTTCCAAATATCGAAAAATCTACTGATGAAGTAGTAACTAACTAGCATGAAAATAGAAACAATGACACTATCGTCAACAACATCAATACGTTGAGATACTTATCTATGTTAATACCACAATATATATGTCATTTTTTGAGGTATGAATTAATTTTGAAACCTAAATACATCACACGACAAATAATTTTTGATAATTATTTCTGTTTCATCTCATCAAAATTGTTTTTATTTGTATTTTTGTAGCATCGATGCGTAAATATGTTGATTTCACCTTGGTAGTATTAATAATAATGGTACTGCTAGTGATCGGTTATGGTAATGGTAGTGTTGTGGTGCTATCAATATAAATGTGCAAAGGAGTAGTATAGAGAACATAATTCAAAGGAAATCTGTTGGAGGAACTATTACCGTAACAGCACATCTTATTTTCTTCTTCATTCTCTGGATACATCAGAAATAACAGGCAAGTGAATATCGTGGATTTCATGTTCAAATTTTGATACCATACCTTACTGCTCCAAAGAAAGGAAGAAGGTTACATTGATTCAGATCCGCAAAGTGTTTCTTTCCGAGGGACAGACGTTCCTCCTTTACATGAAAAATTCAGTAGAATAACTATCAGATGCAAAATTTCAGGTAGAGTTATGAATTGTACATGTACTTTGTCCTTTTCATGTAGCAGCACAATACTCATTGTTTGACCGCTTCTTTCTTTGATACCCTGTACTCAATGTGAATAACGTTACACGAAGCAACCAGATTTGAAAAATCTTTGTCAACAAAAGTTGTTCAGTTTATATTTGAATCAGACTCTGTTATAATAAATTTTCAAAATAATGTTGATGTCCTGCAATATTCTCTTTTTGTTGGTCGTTAAATATGCACGTTGGTCTCAAATTATACAGCACTATTTTTAACGATTCACAGTTTTTTTACCTGCTATATTCAAAGCTACACCATTCTTTTTGTATGTTTTCTTCATAATTCAACGGTAAAGCTATATAAACGAAAATTTTACTGTAGGAAGATACAGATGAGAATACGTATCAGTTAATGCAATTTGCACAAAATAATGACATCGAAGATTCTTTGAGTGAAGTAAGTTGTTGCACAATGTTGTTCCCGAACTAAGAAGAAGAATTCTTTGTACAAGGGACAGAAATTATGACCATAACGTTGATTTCTTTCAAAAATATTAATTTCTTTCATTTCCATGAACATAAACATTTTTCTACGGCTTTCTGTACGACATTTTTGTACGACCAAGAGCATCCATTGTAAAATGTAGGTATTTAGTATACGATGCCGAGAAATAATAAGAAATACAAATAATGACAATGTTAGTAAGAAATTACTAACTTCTTTCTATTAGTACTAAAAGATCTTTCTAATAGAGAACATTGAATCATTTTGAGAATAAGTAGAAATTCTCATTTACTGACTAAGTAAATGTGTTTCTTTTGTTTTGGAAACTTCAACAGTATTCAATAAAAGCACAAGCGTCCTAAGTTGGAATCGAATGTTTCAATGTTGCAGTAATACACTACTAAGTTATGTTACTCGGTTTTATATTTATGGTCCAATGATGCTGCAGAAAAATTATTGCCGCCATTTCATAGCCTGTTCTCTATAAACAATTTTCGTCTACAATGCTTCAACAACAAAGATATTTAACATGATGAAAATTTTACCCTGTATAGAAATCTAAAGTAAAAAATTTGTGTTCTTCACCTCTCAATATTCCCGTTTATGTTCTTATTGTGCAGTTACAGTTGCGGCTGAAGATCATACAGCATGTATACAATGAACGTAAAAATTAATAAAAACACTGTCGGTGGAAAACTGAATAAGGCGAATTCCATTGAAGGATTCTACGCCAATACGGGAATCTTGATAACTGGTGCGACGGGTTTTGTAGGCAAAGGAATTTTGGAGAAATTGATACGTGTGTGTCCAAAGATCGCCGCCATTTTTATCCTTATTCGACCGAAGAAAAACCAAACGATAGACCAACGATTTAAGAAGCTCATAGATGATCCTGTTCGTAAATAATTCTGTCATTGTAATTTACATTTTGAATTCTTATAAGTCAACTTCATTTTCTAAATAATTCTTCATTTCATTACGTAATTATGTTTAATGATAAAAGTTCGATAAACGATCATATTTCCATAAACTTCTATTAGCTTATTTGCTGTGTAATCAAGACTATACTTGTTGCTACTATCGAGTTGACAACTGCAGTTGAAACAAAAATATAGCTTCTCTCCTTTGATTGAATTTTAATGTACACTTGTTTAAACATCAGAAACATGTTATATTGAAGAGTAATATTTTATTGTAAAACAGTATTTGTTGAGGATATTTTGCAGTTCACTTGTCCTCGGCTGTGAGGTATCATTACACAGCCATGTACCAAAGAGATTAACAATTAATTTTATGTATAATTGTCGAGAGCAACAGTTTTTTCTATTTTTCAATATGTGAAATTAATTAATATAGCTTCTGAGAAAATTGTCTATTTATTTTCTTATTGCTAACTGCTAATACTAAATAATTAAAGTAAGATTTCTCGCACGTTAGTCGTTTACCTTCAAATTCAATCTCTGCGTTACCAAATAATCTTATGATACTAAAGTTATATTTTTGTTTCGTACCTGAGATGTTAAAATATTATTTTCGTTATAGAAAGGAATATATAACGAGAAAAAGGAATAGAGATTATTCAAGAAGTTTATCTTCGGAAAATGAAACAAATACTAATAAAGCAATACACTAAATAAATTGTGGAAATTGATAGGAAATTAACTGAATACAAGTTTTTATTTTATGTGGAATTCATACTTGATATGCAATGCAAATATAGAACGTCCGAAAAAATTAATAAACTAATATAACATAATATATTATGAACATCTGACAACAAGAATTAATTTTATATCTTCAGATTTATGATAGCATCAGAGTAAAGCATCCTTTGGTTTTGAGCAGAATTCATCCCGTACAAGGTGATGTAAGCCTGCCAGATTTGGGTCTCTCTTCACAAGACAGAAATATGTTGATAGAGAGAGTGAACATAGTGTTTCATATCGCGGCTACTATGAAATTCAACGAACCGTTAAACGTGGCTGTCAATATAAATACAGCAGGTACTGCACGCATTATCCAATTGTGCAAGGAACTGAAGCATGTAATTAGCATTACCTACGTTAGCACAGCTTATAGTAATGCGCATTTGCCAGAGATCGATGAAAAAGTTTACATGTAAGAATATATTACATATTATTTTCCAAATCCTTCGTTAATGCCTGCCTCATAAAAGCCTGTAATTTGCAATTGGTAATGATTGGTGTGCGACTGATGTGTTCACTTATTACTAATGATTTTTGCAGCTCAAGTTTTAATACTTCTATGGTGATAGATTTATGCGTAAGAGGAGACAAAACACTGATCGATCTGTTTGAAGAAAAAATTTTAAAAATATACCCAAACACATGCACGTTTTCCAAAAATTTAGCAGAGCAAATTGTGTGCAGTAATAGTGATAGTTTACCTATTGCTATAGTGCGACCAAGTATAATTGGTGCCTCGATAGAAGAACCGTGTCTTGGTTGGCTGGACAATATTTATGGAGTTACAGGTATTTTTATAGATAAATATATATTGATATATTAATTCGAACAGAACAATTAATTGTTTTTTATAAATATAATCTCCCTAATTTATTTAATATGTTTAAACTGATTATTTCTTTCAAGAGAATGACTGACTTATTTAATATGTTTTGATATATTTTGTAATTCACCACATTTTATTTTTTTATTTTTTTAACAGTATCCAAATTATTTGTTTGTTGGGTAATTTCGGAAGGCCCCAGTGATCGTTTGAAATGAAATATGAATGTGACAGCGAGAGTACCACGAATATAAAATTTTAGCTATTGGTGTTTGTTAGTTTCTGAAGCGTTTTCGTTATTAATTCTTGTCGTTGACTTTTTGATGGCGTGATTGCATGATTGGACTGTATATGTACATATACAAGTTTAAAGAGTTTAAACGTTTAATAAGGCATGAACGCGAGATATCGATTTCCGACTGTTTGTGAAGAGCTTCGAAGCTTCTTTAAGTTCAATTTGTACATCATGGAGTGATGCATCCACGAATGAAGAACTCGTCTTATCCAATTCAGTTTTTGTGTAAATTAGGGTAGATTTGGGTTATTTTTGATTTCTTTACGCTTCTGCTTCATAAGAAAAACGTCATATGCTAAATTTAAATAATTGCAACCATGTTTCAATTAACCGAAAATCATCAATAATTTCCGTTACAGCTATCTTTATGACAGTCGGCATGGGTATTACAGAGGTAATACCAGCTAAGGAAAACGCAAGCGTGGATCTAGTACCTATTGATTTCGTAGTTGACACGATACTGTGTGCAGCATGGCATGTCACTTTACGTCCTAATAATGAAGTTAAAATCTACAACTGTACGAATAACGCACACCCGCTCAAGTACTACTTATTATCGATTTCATTATTATTATCAAGCAGATTAGCAGATTATGCTTAAGCAAATTATTATCAAGCTCACTACAGATATTTATGCATTTCTGGGAGACTTAATGGCACAAAATTCCAGAGTACATATAATATGAAAGAGTATATGAAATGTTTATTAATTATGTTCCCAAAAATATAAATTTGCATAGAAATCCGCAGTGTAAACATAATCTGTTAGTATATCCCGAATCTTTAGTTTATTAACAAACAAAAGATAGATTATTTTAATTAAGAAACAAAACATATAATTAAATTAAGAAATGAATGTATAAAATTAAAAGATACTGATTGTGAGAACAAAGTGCGTACATTTAAATTAGAAAAGTGTCTGTACTTTTTTCCGAATCAAATCTATAATCATACCAGTTCTATATAGATACTATTTGATACTCCCGTACAAGTTTTCAGTAATATAATATTTCCAATTTCGAATGTAATGTAAACTCTGTAAGTTTTATTGAATTAAATGTTTCATTGTTTAAGATGGGGTCAAATGATAAACATTGCAGTGCAATGTAACAGAGAAATGCCGTTGAACAAAGTGTTCTGGTATCCATATTGCTTCCTGGTAGCTAACAGACATGTTTACGATGTTCTAAATATATTTCTACATATCTTTC